TGTCATGTGCTATGTGTTAATCAGTGTCCTTAGCACTTAAAAAATTCTAACCCATTTAATTCTCACAACACATCCGTGGGGTGTGACTGATAATCTTCCTCTTTTCAAATAACGGAATAGGAATGAAGGTCGCCCACAGGTTATGGTGGAGCTGGGTTTGCACGCAGGCAATCCTGCCCCAGGGCCATGCTCACAGCTCCGCACTCTCCAGAATGTGCGAGTGAGTGGAGAGTCCAGCTCCAGAACAGAGATTGGAGAGAGAGAAGAGTGGGCAGAGTGGGTCACTCTGATGGTTCTGGGGATCCCTTACCAGGACAGAAGGGGGCCAAACTTATGTTGCTATCAAGGAAAATATCCGAAGTCTCTGGCTTAAACCTGAACGTCTTTAGCTCTGGGACAGGTGGCAGGGCAGGGATAACAAAATTAGCCAAGGACCTAGTTCTGAAGGTTTTCCTCTACTGAGAATTCTGCAGGAGTTTCCCTGACCTCATGGCCACATCTCACCCTTTGCTCTTGTTTTTCCCCCAGGACTCATGAGGGCGTCCTGTCTGGTTTCCACTGGGCTCTCGGGTTATAGAGAAGCCATCAGAGTGAGTGGAGAATGGGCTTCATTAATATCTCCAGTATCCTCCCTGGACTCTAAGATACCGAAAGAAGCAAGATCCCGCGTTCCGGAACCCCCTCCTGCTCCTCCGTGGGCCCTGACCCTGGGGAGGCCTGGGCTGGTGAGGAAAGAATCAGGATGAACTGGGCTAGGGAGGTAGGACGGAAAGGGCGGCCTGCGGGGCTCAGCAGCTCCTCCCGCGGCGCCTGTGTCCTGGGTTGGGGTCTGCAGACTCCTCAGGTCATTTCTCCAGGCGCCGCCCCCCTCCCGTCCCTCTGTCTCCTCCCGGGGTCCACACACACTGTAAGAAGTTCCCAGGTGAGCCGCTCCTGGAAGGGGTGGGACGTGGGAGGGAGCACGAGAGGCGGGTTTCCGGCGGTGAGGCAGAGCGAGCGCGTCCGGAGACACGAGGGAGTGGGGACCCGAGGGAAGCGGAGAGGGGTCCCAGGCTCCCAGCGCCTCTCCCGGCCCTAATACCCTGGTTCCCGGGGCCCAGAGCCGCACTCCCGGGCACTTGGAGGCTGCCGGGCTCCGCCTCCAACACCAGCGCCCTGCGCTCCTCAGCGGCGCCTTCGTGGGGGACACGCGGTTCCTGCGCTTCCACAGCCTCGGCGAGGATCAGAGCCGGAAGCCGCGGGTGTCGCGGGTGGAGAAGATGGGAGAGGACTGTGGGCCTCCCGAGGAAAGTTCTCGAAGATCTCAGGGAATGTGCTACTGAGGGGCCTAAGGTGCCTGGACTGCCACCAGCACCAGGGTCAGCCGGTGAGTGACATCAGGCTCCGGGCGCGAGTGTCCCCCAACCAGACAGTGACAGGCCAGGGACTCACAGGCGTGGGGGGCGGGGCCTCAGCTGACCCTTCAGGGGTGGAGGAGCGACATTTTACAAGTGACATTTTACTCCAGGTTTGTCCTTCAATCTAGATGGTGATTGACTTCTGCTGTGACCAATCACGGAGGGAGGCAGGAGCTGAGGTGGGTGGGGTGAGGTGGGAGGAGCGGGGCTACCGCCCTTCCCTCCCCTGCCCTGCCTCAGGCTGACCCCAGGACAGGTCCAGGGCCTGAGCCCTGCACCTGGAGATGCTGCATGGCTGTGTGGTGGCTCCGGACGGGAGCTTGGTAGACTGAAGTGTCGGCGACACTTTCAGTCTACCTACGACAGAGAAGAATTCATGTCCTTGAGTCAGGACCTACAGACCTGGACAGCTGGGCAAACCTCAGCTCAGGATCAAGCTGTCCTCGAACTGCTTGCTGCTAGACCTCTGACCAGGAGGCTGAGAGCTGGCCTTCTCATTAATTTTCTCCTCCCAGGAGAATCCTACTGTCTATTGCTCAATACGCCTCAGCCTTCTGACTTTCCTCAGAGCAGTCTCAGCACTGGCGACCCGTCATGCAGGTTTGAAGGGGAATGTCACCTTGAGGTGCTGGGCTGGGGTCTTCTACCCAGCAGAGATCACACTGACTTGGCTGTGGGACAGACCCAGGACATGCAGCTGGGGACCCCAGACCTCAGGGGTATGAGGCCTTCCAGAAGTGGGCAGCTGTGGTGGTGCCTTCTGGGGAGAGGCAGGGATCCCCATGGCTGTGCAGCATGAGGGGCTGCCCAGGCATCTTATACTGAGGTGGGTGGAGAGGTGAGTGCGAGTGGAAACCCCTGCACAGAACTGACACAGCAGGAGCTATTCTGTGTCAGGGTCAGGGTTTTGACTTGAAGGCCCAGGCCCCTTTCATTTCCTTCCTGGAACCCCCTTCCCAGCTCACCTTTACCATCATGGAAACCATTTCTGACTTAGAGCTACTTCCTGTTCTGGTGCTTGGACCTGTGATGTGCAAGAAGTTCTCAGGCATTGGAGCAATGATGGCTTCGCCCCATCTCGTGTGTAGGGATCCCACTGCTAGTGGGGGATTAGCTGAGTCACCTCCCCCTGTCCCCCTGAGGCTGGGGATGGTGAACCTAGTCAAGTCACAAACCCTGAGAGGGAACCAAGCAGACTGACAAGGAGGACACTGCCTGTCAAGTGGCCAATGGCCCCGATCAGAAGAGGTGAAGGGTGAGAGAGGAGGCTGCTGGGAACCAGAAGCTTGGCAGCCAGGAAGGCTGAGAAAGTGCAGGCTGACAGTAGAGACCGGAGGCTGGAGACCCTGGGAGTCAGCTGTGCTGTTCCCTCTGAGCCCCAGGGTGCAGGGGAGGGTCCTTTACACCAGGGAGCTTCAGACAAGGGAGCTTCAGCCCTTATGACCATTTCTGGGTTCTGTACACCCTTTATCCTCCATGAAGATTCTAAACATCAAGATAAGTTACAATCTGGTTCTCATATTATCTGAATTACCTTTAGAAAAGGACTCATCCTTCCATTTTGTTCACTTCTATAAGATATGAAATATTAAATCAAACAGTAATACAGGATTAATGTGAGTGTATCAGATGTTATGTGGATAGATTTCCCTCATTGTTCATATTGGAGAAAGACACAGGTCCAACCCTATTCACAGATGAGAATAGCAGGGTAGCGGTACTCAAAACCTTGATACTTGGTGCCCCCACCCTGCAGGGAAGGCCCTCTGTATAAACAGACATCCAGGAGGGTGACTGCTTGATGCCATACTGTCTCTTCCTCCTCTCCTATGCCCTGGGTTTATCTTTTAAATTTCAGCTAATTAGCAATATTAACCAGGTATTTAAGATACTCAAGGACCTACCTTGGTCCCTAACAGGGTCTTCTGTCCTAAGAACTTCTGGAGGAGTCTACTCTATAAATTCCAGCACTGAAGGGGTGGCAGGGGCTGCTCATCTCTAGCCCCCGGAATAGAGAGGATGGGGCCACAGGCCTGTGCCTCTTCATCTCATAGTCCTACCTCAAATAGTTTCCTCCTGGAAATAAATAAAGATCCAACTCTGCCGGGTCCTCTTTATTGTCATTCTCCAGGTGGTGACAGGGTCCTGGAAGCTGTGATCACAGCTTCCTGAAATATGATCCCTGGAGTCTAATGCCAACAGGAGTTGAGGAAGTGGAGCAGCTTTGGGCTGTGGGGGAATCTCTGGATTTAAAGGTAGGGGATGGTGATGGGCTGCCCATAATGCTCAGGGTGTGGAGGCTGAGAGTGGCTGAGCTGAATCTGGTCATTACCGTGTTCTCCACAGTTTGAGAGCTGCCTTATGCAGACCAGCAAGACACCGATTGTTCTCAGCTCCCTTGTCTCTCTAGCTGCTTACTTCTTTCTCCCAGCTGCTCAGCTGATGAGCTGTCTCCTTCCAAGCATAGCATGGGGAGGATGGGGGAGAGAGGGGCCAATTCCACAGATCCCCAAGAACCCCTTCCACATAATCCCAATATCCAGGCCTGGGGTCCCCTTCCCTAGATCAACCCTCCTTTTCTGAGAATGGAAGAGTGTCAGTGTCTCCTTCCCAGATCTCCCCTTTCACTCACTTAAACTAAATAGATGTCTTGCTCTGTCAGTTACTGTTCTCATATCCTTTCTATAAAGATGTGGTGAAATGTTACCAACTATTAATAAAACATGGAAATCAGGTTCTCTTTTTAGATTCTGAGGATCTGCGGTGCTGAGGTAGGGGCAGGTGGGGAGAGAAGGGCGGGTGGAGGGGCAGGTGCTGATTGGTGTGCAGCCTCGCTCTGCTCCACAAAGTTCCTGCTGTGGTTATTTCTTGTCTATTTGTCTGGATCCCTCCTTGTGCTGTGATTTGTGCCTGGTCTTTAGTGTCAGGTGCTGCTCCAGGTCGGAGGCCTCACACATCTCCAGGCTGAGCCTGGAGTCCTAGTTATGTTTCCCTTGTCTTTAATACACTTAAACCTAGATGATGGCCAAGCTGCTGTGTGGTCACATTTTGGGGAGAAAGCAAAGCAGGGAGGAGTGAGGACCCTGGCACTCCCACTGCTGCCTGTGGGCATGCACATACTCATGCTCCACTTCCACACTCATGCTTACACACATGCACACACACTCCCATTCCCACCCGTGCACATGCACACACTTGTGCAGACATACACATACACACACAGTCTCAAGTCAGCACTGGAGAATGGCAGTTCCTGACATCCGCTCATGCATGTGCCATTCTCAGGGATTTGTGCAGCTGTGTCTGGTCTGACCCACAGACCCTGGCCGATGAATGAAATGAGTACTCAGATACAGGTATGCAGTGTAAGAGCAGCTAGGTGACGGCCTGGCTCTAGTGGCCACAGGGCAGCCTCCAGAAGCTGGAGCTGCTTGCTTTTGTTCAGTGCAGGCACAATGCCAAAAGCCTGGAGCAAACACAGCCTGTAGATAATTACATTTACTGTTCCCTGCACTCGGATGATGAAAGATTAGTTCCTGGTCAACATAAATAAACAGGCCTGTTTAAGATAAATTCCCCTGCACTGCCTTGTACCTACTTGCCCTCTGCCTCAGGGTTATAGAACAGCTGCCTTCAGCTATTCTCCCCCGGGGCTCTGCAGAACCTTCCAACTTCTCAAAAGGTTTGCCCCCTTTCCCTGTAGCTTTTCCCACCACTCCGACCGATCCCCCACACAACTGGAGGCAGGAGCTCCTGAGGAAGCATCACCAGGAACCACCCCAAGAGGAGGATTGAGCGAGTGGGGTCCCTCCAAGGCACTAGCGGATGGGATGATCCCTTCAGGATGCACTAGTAAGGGCAGACTGTGTGAGCTGCTGTGCTATCACACCTCCCAGTCTGGAGAGGAGATGACGTCTCTGTCAGAGTATGTTTCTCGCATGAAGGAGACACAGAAGTCCATCTATTACATCATTGATGAGAGCAAAGAGCAGGTGGCCAACCCAGCTTTTGTGGAGCGAGTGCGGCTTCGAGGTGGTATATATGACTGAGCCCACTGACGAATACTGTGTGCAGCAGCTAAAGGAGTTTGATGGGAAGAGCCTGGTCTCAGTTACCAAGGAGGGTCTGCAGCTACTGGAGGATGAGGAGGAGAAGAAAATGGAAGAGAGCAAGGCAAAGTTTGAGAACCTCTGCAAGCTCATGAAAGAAATCTTAGTTAAGAAGGTTGAGAAGTTGACAATCTCCAATAGGCTGGTGTCTTCACCCTGCTGCATTGTGACCAGCACCTACGGCTGGACAGCCAATATGGAGTGGATCATGAAAGCCCAGGTACTTTGGGACGACTCCACCATGGGCTACATGATGGCCAAAAAAGCACCTGGAGATCAACCCTGACCACCCTATTGTGGAGACACTGTGGCAGAAGGCTGAGGCAGACTAGAATGACAAGGGAGTCAAGGACCTTGTGGTGCTGCTGTTTGAAAACTCCCTGCTCTCTTCTGGCTTTTCCCTTGAGGATCCCCAGACCCACTCCAACTGCATCTACTGTATAATCAAGCTAGGTCTAGGTATCGATGAAGATGAAGTGGCAGCAGAGGAACCCAGTGCTGCAGTTCCTGATGAGATCCCCCCTCTTGAGGGTGATGATGATGTGTCTCGCATGGAAGAAGTAGATTAGGAGTTCATAGTTGGAAAACTGCCCTTGTATAGTGTCCCCATGGCTCCCACTGCAGCCTTGAGTGCCCCTGTCCCACCTGGCTCCTCCTGCTGATATCTCGTGTTTTTTTCTCTTCTGTCCTTCTGTTGAAGGCAGGAAACAAGGGTGTCAAGCCCCCATTCTTTCCCTACTCAGACAGCAGGATTGGAAGCTGTGTATTGTGGTTTTTTATTTTGTTTGTTCATTTTGTTCTGAAATTAAAGTAGGCAAAATTTTAAAAAATAAATTTTTATTAAAATCTTTTTAAATCTGAAATTACATTTTATTAATGGAAAATATCATCAAAATAGTACCACTATGGACTAAACTGCCTGTGAAGGGTGATCAGTGGTGGCAGGAGCATTAGGAAAAATAGCTAATGCATACCGGGGTTCAAACCTAGATGATGGGTTAATAGGTGCAGCAAACCACCATGGCACACGTTTACTTATGTAACAAACCTGCACATCCAGCACTGGTACCCTGGAACTTAAAATTCATTAAATTAAAAGACAAGCTTAAAGCATTAATGAAAAACAATTAGATTTAAAAAAGACTTTGAGTTACAAAATCTTGAAACAATAGTTTCAATTTTGCTTTTAACATATATGCAAATCCTTCCAGAGGTGCAGCTTAATTCTCTCTCTTGAGTGTGGCTTGGATTTAATGATGCACTTCTGATATGGCCTGGCTCTGCGTTCCCACGCAAATCTCATCTTGAATTGTCTTACGAATTGTAATCTGACATATTGGAGGAGGGACCACATCAGAGGTGATTGGCTCATGGGGACGGTTCCCCTATGCTGTTCTAATGATAGTGAGTGAATTCTCATGAGACCTGATGGTTTTACAAGGAGTTTTTCCCTGCTTCGCTCTGCATTTCTCTCTTCTGCCACCATGTGAAGAAGGATGTGTTGGCTTCTACTTCTGCCATGATTGTAAGTTTCCTGGAGCAGCCTCCTCAGCCATGTAGAACTATGAGTCAATTAAACCTCCTTTTTTTATAAATTACCCAGTCTCAGGTATTTCTTTATAGCAGTGTGAGAATGAGCTAATGCAACTTCTAACTGATGGAGTAATGCTGACATAACAGTTTGTGACTCTGGATGTAGAACATAAAAGTCACTGCGGCTTCTACTTTCTCTCTGTCTCTGGGATCGTGAGCTCTGGGGGAAGCCAGCTGCTGTGCGACAAGCAGCCCTGCAGGAAGGTCCATGTGGCCAAGAACTGAGGACTTCTGGAACCAGACAACAAGAAACTAGGCCTTTTCAAACAGCCATGTGACTGAGCCATGTTTCACGTGAATCCCCAGCCTCAGTGAAGCCCTCAGATGATGCAGCCCTTGGCTGACAGCTGGACTACAGCCTTGTGAGAGGAACTGAGCCAGAAGCACTCAGGGAAACCTCTCCTGGATTCCCGACCATTGAAAGATGTGGGAGATGATGAATATTTGTTGTTTTGAGTTGCTATGTTTTACATAATTTATTATGCAATAGTAAATAACTAATAGATTTTCAAAAGAGAGGATGGATTATTACACGTTAATTTGCATGTGCTCTAAATTTGTCATCATCAATTTTATTATTTTTGAGACAGGGTCTCTCTCTGTCATCCATGATGGAATGTAGTGGCGTGATCACTATGCACTGCAGTGCCCACCTCCTGGGCTCAAGGGGTCCTCTGTCCTCAGCCTCCTGAGTAGCTGGGATGACAGGCATGAACCACCATGCCTGGCTAATTTTCTAATTTTTTGGCAGAGATGGGGGTTTGACCATGTTTCCCAGGCTGATCTTGAACTTCTAGAGTCAATGGATCCACCTTCCTCTGTCTTCCACAGTGCTAGGATTGCAGGCATGAGCCACAACATCTGGCCTAAATTAATTGTAAGATACTAAATATATAACTTGGTTGTAAAAGGTAAGGAGAATTTCCATGGCTGAAGAGAATGTATTTTATTACCGTTCACAATGATCACTTTACTTGAACTTCAATTTCCAACTGTGTCTCAATTAAACACAAAAGGAAGATCCAACCCTTGCTAGGCTGATTCTATCATGGCCCCCAACAACGACCTCCTGGTCATCCACCTTCCCCCAGTTATTCACCCAACTCTAATGCAGGTGCTGCTGTGAAGGGATTCAGCAGATATAAGTAAGGGCCTCAATTATTTGACTTTAGGCTGGGTTTATCCTGCTTGGACTGTCTTAATCAGCTGAGCACTTGAAAGGCTGGGTCCTTCCTGAGCATAGAGATTCACAGTGTGAGAGGGATTCAGCATGAGGGGTTTCCTCCACTCTGGGCTTTGAAAATGAAGGAGCTGGGTAGTCAAGAATGCTGATGGGCACCAGGAATTGACCACATCCCTCCCTGTTCTCTACCTTGACAGCCAGCAAGAAACAGGAACCTTAGTCTTGCAACTGCCAGAAACTGCATTCTGCCTCCTCTGTATAAGCCTGAAGGAGGATTCAAAACGAAAACACAGCTTTGGGAAGCACAGAACAGATTCCATCCACATCATGCCAGGATTTCTGACTAAGGAACTATAAACAGATAAATGGGTGTTGTTAGGCCAGGGGTGGTAGCACACACCTGTAATCATAACATTTGAGGAGGTGACACAGGAGGATCACTTGTAGCCAGGAGTCTGAGACCAGCCAGGATAATATAGTGAGACTGCTATCCTACAGTTTTTTTTTCTTTAATAAGTTGAGCATGGTGGTACTTATAGTCCTAGCTACTCTGAAGACTGAGGCAGGAGGATCCCTTGAGTTTGAGGCTGCAGTGAGTCATGATCATGTGACTGCACTTCATCCTGGATGACAGAGGGAGACTGTGTCTCTAAAAATAAATGAATGAATACAATAAATGGGTGTTATTTAAAGCCAATATTTTCAATAATAACACAGTCTTATAAAATTCATACAGAGGCTCAACAGACTTATGGAATGAATTGATGAATTGATACACACATAGTTACATAAAATAAAATCTTAACTTTTTCAGTGTTTCAGTTTATAATTTTCTGCGATGCAACTTAATACCTCATATTTCATTCATTCAGTCAATAAAAATTAATTTAGTGCCTACG